CACCCCCAATATTCCTGTTCGTAATGGAATCAATCACATCTTTCCTGCGCAAGGACCCATCCATAGACCGCCTGACCGAGCAAAACTACAACCCCCTCCACGAATTTGCTCTCCCCACTACACAGATGTTCGCATATGACCTCACGGTCCTCATCCGCGCTAACAACTCCTCCTTCCAGGCCCTGGCCCGCGCCATGGAAGCCTTCAGACTCGCCTCATAAATAAAGGTGAACTGGCTGGAAACGGAAGGGTGGTGGCTCGCAGAAGGCAACCCCCCCCAACCCCCAGACCCATCCACCCCAATACATTGGACTACAGGCGATCAAGCACTTCGATATCTAGGCATCATGGTAAACAGGGACGACATTTTGCAAGGGATGGGGGAGTCACTACTCGCCAGAGCAATAACCCGTTTAGCCACCTGCAACAAAGCCCAGACCTCCCTACTAGGGAGAGCCCTGATTATCAACACAGCAATATTCTCTACCTTGTGGTACATGGCCTCCATATGGTGCCCCCTCGATGACAACCTGAAGAAGCTGAAGGCTAGAGCCAGGTGCTAGCTGTGGACTGGCAACCCCAACAGAACCACCTGCATAAACAAGGTGCCCTGACAAACTGTCATCAGGAAACTACAAGAAGGAGGGCTAGGTATAATCGAGCTTAAACAGGAAACGATCGCCCTCCAAATCAAATGGATAATCAAAATCCTAACCAAACAAGCCCTCCCGTAGACCGCGATGGCAATAGACAGCATAAGGAATTTGGCACCAGCAGCGACCCCACTAAACATGAGTGGCCTATTCTGGATCATGGCAAAGGAGTGGACAATCAAATCGGGGAGACCAGCAAGGAAAACTAACCCAGTGACCCCCATTCAACCCCCCACTACACCCACCCCCTACTGGTCTCCGATCCTGAAGACCTGGCGCCGTCTGATGCCAGAAAAGAAAGGCCCCCCGAGCAACAAAGAGGAAGTCCTACGACAACCCCTGTTCTGCAATCCCTAGGCAGAAATTGCTGTCATGGGTGGAGAGAGGAGTATGGAAGATCAAACATCTGTGGTCCGAAGACCGACAAGAATAGCTCACCGCACAAGACCTTCGCACTCCCTTAAAAGGCTGCCATCTACTGACCACCAACCTGTCAGAAATCCTCCAAAGCATTTCCCCCCCATGGACGACCCTCCTAAATGAGATACATACGTGGAAACCAAGAGACAAGGGACTGCTCATCACAGAGACCCCACCAAAGAAAGCCTACCATTTTCTGTCAAAACCAGACTTTATCAACTACCAGACCAAGTTTGTATCCTACCCCATCATCAAACACGGCCTATATGAACTAGAGATCCTAAACAAAACACCACAGAACGAACAAATAGAAACCTACCTTCTCAGGAAGGTTAGAGTCTCTCACAAAACACCCTGGCTTATATTCCATCTGGAACTCGGCATCAACGAATTGGAATTCGACCCAAAGGAATGGATCTGGATCTGGGCGCCACCAGTAAATCGAGAAGGATAACAGAATATGACGTAAAGTTCGGGTATAACCTTGGACTACAAACCAGGGACCCGAATTCAAGGCTGGCAGAGATATGGAGAACCATACTGAACCTAGATACCACGACCCCCATCACCATCACATGGACCAAATACCTTCTCATCAGACCAAGTAGAATCTGAAGTATGAAATGGCTAATAGCACATGCAGCCTTGCCAGTCAACCAATGGTTACACGAGAGAAGGAAACATTTTGATCCTGATAGCTCGGCATGCTGCTCAATGTGCAGCAACGACTCACCCGAAGACACCCCCCACTGCCTCCTGTTAGCTGCGCCCCCCCCAAACATCCCCCCTAACTCTATCCTACTTCTAACTAACATCCCCAGCAACATCACAGGCAGCAGGGAAGCATGGTTCACCCTACTCAGGAAGCTGGCACTGTGGGTAATAAGGAAACGCAGATGCACTCAGACAATCGAGGGAACAGAGGTGGCAAGAGAAGAAATGTGGTCACTACTGCTGAGCATGGCAGAGACGGAAATCAGGAGCAGATGGCGGAGAATAGCAAACTCTACGAGACACAGACCAGAAAGACAAGCAACCAAGTAACGGACTTTCATAAGGAACTGGTTGCTAAAAGGCAAGGTGGCAATGTTAGTAGACAATAGACTGAGATGGAAGAAATGGCACCAGGCAGAAGCATGAAGACCACGAGGATACATACCGGGAGACCTGGCAGAAGGTTCGGAATGGTGATCAACAAAAAGAGGACCGGACACACAGGGAAAGACAAGGACAAACAACAGAACACAGAGCGGAGCCCTCCACTGTTCTCGTATTACAGGGACTCGTTCGACAGGCTCTAAATAGAAGCCTGAGAGGAACAAATGGTCAGGGCGAGCTGACAGTCAATCCTCCTTAGGAGCAATCAATGCTGATCAGGGGTCCTTCGGCCAGACGGAAGGAAGCGTTGAGTGGGTATTATGATGTAACCCGTTTTTGACTTGCCGGGGGAATAGGAACCGGACTGACGCTCCCCAGAATGGATATGGAGCCAGGACCATAGGGACCTGTTTAAAAAAAAAAAAAAAAAAAACAAAAAAAAACAAACAAACAAACAAACAAACAAACAAACAAACAAACAAACTGTCTGCAACACTAATAGGTGACCTGCAGTGTGTGTGTCAGTGTCTTTTGGCATTGTGACAGACACCGGCCTTGTGGCTCCCTGGCACTCAATGGTGGCCTGAACCTACTGTCTGCTGGATTTTCCATATGATGTGCATAGGTGATAGTCCATTTTGTCGGTTTCTGTGTTTGTGCGTTTCTATGTTGAGGATGTCATCCCTCTTGCCTTCCTGTGTTCCTTGCTGCCGTGTTGCTGTGTGCCTGCCCCTTGTCCGCCAGCTACCTTGCTCCATATCTTGCTGCATATCTTGCTGTGTTGTCATCTGCCCCGT